TATCACTGGTTGTAAATGTAACTAAAAGCCAATATTTAAACTACAAAAAACAGACATTCACATACAGACGTTAAGATATAGTTTTGGGTCCAACTCATATGAACAAGACATTTAGAGCCAATTATAACAAAAGAATCATACAGACAGTTGACAACTAAATATTCATGCCGCTGTCTTTTTTGGTGTGTTCTTCATAACTCAAGAATGAAAGTTGGACTTGGTTGGATTAGGGCCTTCACTGAATACTTCAAGATGTAGCTTTTAATATGTCACATTCACAAGAAACGTAAATCGGGACAAATAAATTAGTTTGTCAACTGAAACTACATTTTTTTTTAAAATTAAAAATTGAATCAAAAACCGTTTTCACATGTCATACCATGCATGAATTAACAAATATTAAATGAAAATGACTTAATTATAACAATCAAAGCATCCCCCCCCCCCCCATAATAGAAGGATACAAATATAAAATTGTGACCATCAACAGTCCTGTTCCAGAATGCCCTACTGGAATTGGTTTCATAAATTGGATAGACTGAAGTAGTCCTGGCTATCACCTTCCTCTGGCTATAATGAAACAATAAACTATTCCAATCTCTCCATGTTTAGTCAACTGGTAATGTTCATGCTCTTGGTTGACTGGTGTAGTCCCTGCTATGGCCTTTCTCTGGGTATAATAAATGATAACCTATCACACCTCTCTCCATGTTCGGTCAGACTGGTAAATTTCATGCTCTTGGTTGATATAATCCAGGGATTCCAGTCCCATCTATGGCCTTCTTCTGGATATAATAAATGATAACCTATACAGTCTCTCCATGTTTAGTTTAGACTGGTAAATGTTCAAGCACTTGGTAGACTGGTTTAGTCCATGCTATGGCCTTTATTTGGGAATAATAAATGATAACCAGTCTCTCCATGCTCAGGTCAGACTGGTAATTTGATGATCTTGGTTGATATAATCCAGTGATTCCAGTCCCTGCTATGGCCTTCCTCTGGTATAATGAATGATAACCTATCACCAGTCTCTCCCCACTCTGCTCTCTTGACTTGATCACAGTAATCCATGCTATCAATCCTGTGGTCCAAACCAGGCATCCAATCAATGACACACGTCACATCTACACAAAAGAAATCGGTAGAAATTTAAGACAAATGAAATCAGAAAACAGTGGCGCATTGTCATATCAAACACCTTGGCACCAAGGAAACAACTTTGCTATTCTGAAACTTTGTTATATCAGTCAAGAAAAAGAGAGGATGAAGACAACAACAAAAAAGAGGAAGAGGAAGAAAAAAATTAAGACAATAGAATCAGAAAACAGTGGCCCATGTTATATCAAACACCTTGGGACCAAGGAAATAACTTTGCTATTCTAAAACTGTGTTATATCATTCAAGAAAAGAAGAAGAAGAAGTCATCGAAGACAAAGACAACAAAGAAAACAGGAAGAAGAAGAAAGAGAGTTAGAAGAGGAAGAAGAAGAAGAAGAAAGAAAGAGAAAGAGAAGTGGAAGAAAGAAGACAAAATAGAAGAAAAGAAGAAGACAATGACAACAACATTTTACTCAAACAAACTCCTTGGTACTATTACCAAGGACATCACATTGCTTATTGAAACCTTGATTCTTTAAATGAATAGTGTTCTTTTGGAAACAGTTAAACTCTACTGTAAAAACTTGAAACTTTCATTTGCAAAATTGCTTATTTTTTCAGGCAGATTAGTACTGCCTATATTAAATTAATTTGTTTTAGACCTTGCTTTACCAGTGTTCCATTTTCTATCGGTATCGGTGTAGTATGAAGACCACTCACCAGAGACAAGAAAACTACAACAGGGACTTGTTTCATCAAGCCTTTTTTCAATGACAAGTGACAAATCTGCTGATAACCAATCAGAAGCAAGGATTTCACTAGCTTATAACAAAAACTGTCATTTGTCACTGATGATAAGTTTTGTGAATTCGGGCCCAGATGTCTTCCTCATCAGGTGACCTTCATAGCTAGGTCAAAACACAGTCCTAGATAGTGCCATGATAAACACTGTTTTGGGGGAAGAAGTGGTCTTAATAAACAGGTAGTGTTTCTGGATAGGTGATGGCTTAAGAAATTAACTGATATAACTTACATGATCTAATTTCTTCTGCTGTTCAAAAGCCGAGCGGAGAAAGGCTTCTCGGAAAAACCAACTGTGTTGACCAACCACAGGAAAGGAAGGGCAAATATTCCACCTGAATTTAAGAATGAAAATGAGAGAATTACATGTACATGTAAAGATCTCCATGCGAGACATTGAAAGAAGGAAATATTTTTCAGCATATCAGAAACAACATTGTAAGGAAAGATGAGAATGAAGAATGACATTTTCAGCAATTCTGAATAAAAGTAGTCTCCAAATAAAGAAAATAAAGAAAATTAAGCAATATGAAAAATTCTTTTGACACAGGAACACTATAAATAAACTATAAAACAAAATATATTTATGAAAGTTTTTTAGCAAGTAAGGTTATCATTGAAACACTGCTCATTAATTTTGGCAGCTCTGACTTTGGTAGAAATAATGCATTCTCAGCACGACGGACTACTTTCAATGCAATTCAATTACAAAATTATTTATTAAACAACATGTCATTGCATGATAAGTTGAACCGCACATGAAGTAAAATAACATTAAAATACATTGCAGAAGCATAGATTAGGGCAGTGATCTAAAAAAAAGTCTGATTCAGGAGTGGTGTGCCATAATCCTTCAGAATCACATAGGGGTGGGGGGGGGGGGGTGTTACAAAGACTAAGGCCATTTGATACTCTTAACAAGTCTTGAACCAGAAGTAAAATTAGAGGGGAAAACCTTTAAAATTATGATCTTTAGATAACGGTTTTCTTCATAATGAACTATCAAAAAATGTGAATTCTGTACATTTGTGACGTCCCTAGAGAGATCAATGGTGAGAGCAATTAGTGGCATGAATGGCCTGCTATAGTTCAAGTCCAACTTTGATCTTAGTCTTTGTGAAACATCCCAAAGGTGATCTTAATCATCTTACCAATGAAGTATTTTCTGCAGAGAGACAGCTTCTCTTCATCTGATACCTTTGCGAGATTCATGATGAAACAAGATTTGTCTTTTGTTGCACCAGTAGTAGAACTTGAAGCTTCTAATTATTTCTGAAAGAAAGAAGGATGAGATGTAACTTCAGTGGAAAATGGTCTTAGCTACACTTTAAACCAAAAACCTTTGTGGCATAAAAATATTGTGATTTTCAAGGACCTTCCTTCAGGGTCAGAAAATTGAACGTTACAAATTAATTCTATTGTACAAATCTTTGAATTTTAACTTTATAGAATAAGTAAATCTTTTGAAAATTTGAAAGTTTCATATACATGTACTTGGCGTCTTTTGGCGACTGTTGTAAAATTGAAATTTCCTGGTTTTACATCAATGTAAACTTCACTTATGGCCTTTTAGCGTAGCCTCATCAGGCTTCCCGTAGATCTACTAGTACTACATGCACATTGAGCAGTCAAATCTGATTCTAGTATTTGCAGTGCAAAATGAACTCTTTTGATTTGATTGCAAGTAAAAAAATTGGTGAATTATTGTTATCAATAGACCCTTAATTAACAAAAAACAATGAACAACAATGAAAAAAAAAAAAGGAAAAAAGAACAAACAATGCAATCACTGAATCAGACAATACAAATTGCCAATGCAATCAAAATCGTAATGGCAATGCGGATGCCAAGAATAGGCTAAAATGGCCATCTGGTATGGGGAATTCTTTAATAAAACAGACTTTGTCAACCATCCTCATACACTGTGTGAAGTTATATACCGTAATGTCTCAGATCCTCAGTATGGTAGATAACTTCACACAGGCGTGCGCTTGCCCGCAACCCACCATCAGTATGCACTTGTATATATTGTGCAGGGGTTTGCCGTGAAAACTGTGAAAAAGTGTATACTAATAAATAGGAGGTCTATCAATGTTTTTCTGAAAAAAACTCCAAAAATAACAAGAAAATTGACACGAAACAGGTAATAAACATACAACTTTTAACTGATGATCTTTATTATAACATTTGATGAATATTTACTTCATTTGTCTATGTTTTAGTGGGGTATCTCCAAACCGGAGTTACAGGTCAAATTTTGGATAGGTTTCTAAACAAGCGCCGATTTTTCTCAGTCAAGCCTCATTAAACGATAACCCCGTCCAATGACCATGATGACTGTGAGTGTGAGTAAATCTGTTTACTTGAGCTGAGCTTCTCACAAATGCGCTGCTGGACTTATTTTGGCTATGGCTAGGCTACAGTAGATCTATGTGAATCGTATATTGTCCATGTATGTAGCTATGCAGGGAAAAACCGCTACGCCTATGGCAGGCGATGCTATGCCAGCGGTTCGGCCGAGCTCAACTCCTAGATGCCGGTGACGATAATTACTCAATCAAGTTCCTCCGTTCTGACTACCCCCTTCCACTTCCGGTTTGCATACTGCCGCTATAACGCAATAATTTTGAACAATCATAGACGATTCAAATAATCTTCAAAGATGAAGTAATTAATCAGGATAGGAACTTCACAAAATTACAATTAACGTATTATTATATGATTTATAGCCTATTTTTGTATACGTTACCTTTACTTTGGGTTTACGGATTTGTCACTGGCCTGATAATAATATGCTCGAATAAGCTCGAGTTATGGTACGCCACGTGTAACACTGTGATTAATACCATAGAGATATATAACTACTAACACTATATTAATACTCACAAAAGAAAAGAAGAACCCAAACAAAAAAGAGGGGAGAAGAGAAACTATGAAATAAAATAATTAAAAATCAAAGGAATGTAAGAAAATTAAAAATTAAAAAGGGAGGAAAAACATGAAAAAGAATTTTAAAAACGAAAAAAACAATGATCTTATTAAGGCCAGATGCAGAAAGCTTTTTTGCACTGTCTCTTCTGTTTTTTTGCATCTACTAAAAGCAAATTATTTTTTGGAGTGGACTTAGCCTTTGATATACTGAACCAGGCGCGGATCCACGGGGGGGTGGGGGGGGGGGGCAATTTTTTAAAATATATTTTTTTAGTTTTTGTTAGTAAGTGACCTCACTACCCCCCCCCCCCCCCCCCCCCCAGAGTGAGATATTGATCGGCACGATTTTCACATTTTCGAGGTCAAATACGAAAAAATCATTATGCTCACTACCCTCCCCACTATTAAAGCGAGATATTGGTCGGCGCGATTTTCACATTTTAGCCCCCCCCCCCCCCCCTATCGGCAAATCCTGGATCTGCCACTGTACTAAACACAATCTAATAGGGCCCACAAAAGTGCCAACAGCACATAAAATAATTACTTAGGCGTTTACAATATACAGATGGACTAGAAAGATATTTTGTAGATGAATCCGGCCAAGCTGTTCGATTTTTTTCGCCAAGTAATGGCCTTGCGGATTATCTATCGAATGTGCGGGTGGGGGGGGGGGAGCAGTGGCAGGTCCAGGGGGCCCGGGCTTCTCTCCTGGGGAGACGTTACTTTTACCTTTTTTTAAATGGACCCTCCCCTGGCGCTCAAGGGGGGGGGTGCAATTTTTCAATTTTCGAGGCCCCCCCCCCAAAAAAAAAAAAAAAAAAAAATAGTGCTCACTACTCCCTCCCCCCCCCCCCCCCCCCCCCTCACACTGAGCGAATTATCGGCCGGCGCGTTTTTTAAATTTTCGGGAGCAAAAAAAAAAATAGTGCTACTTAACCCCCCCCCCCCCCCCCCCCCCCCTCCCTCCCGTTTATTCACCGGCTGGCCTGTTTCGCTGCTAAATATTTTCTCACGAATTGGGCCCCCTCTTTAGCGCCCTCCCCTGCCGCCGGCTGGATCCGCCCCCGGCGAGGGGGGGGGGGGCATGGTGTGACTTTAATTACCAGGCCAATGTGGCATTTATTGAACGCAAAAATAGAGACATAAACAAAACGGAAAATTTCGGGGCGCAATTAATTAAAATGCCTATGATGATGAATGTAACATAAAATCTAAAAGAAATTTATTGTGGAGGGGATCAAGGATAGTTTGTCAGCAGTAGGGTAGGGGAAGCCTGCGCGATGCCCCAAAATACAAATTAAAGAAACCTAAATAACAGCAACAAAAATACAACACTAAGCCCGCAAGCAGATCCAGAAAATGTAAATTTCTCTCTCCGAAAATTGATGTAGCTAGCCTATGATTGATTTTTAAAAATTGCATCATTTGATATCGGGCCTTAATTTGCATAGATTCGGTGGGGCCCGGTACCACCGAACCCCCCCCCCCCCCCCCCCCACTGAGCGAATTATCGGCCATCTGTTTCGCCGCTAAATATTTTCTCACGAATTGGGCCCCCTCCCCTGCCGCCGGCTGGATCCGCCCCTGCCAGATGGATAGGGGGTGTAGTGGGGATTGGAAAGGGAGCAATTTTTAAAGTCAAATTGATAATGAATATGAATTACCGTTTTTCGTAAAAATGTGATGTGAGATCTTTGAGATATATATTAAAATACAATTTTGTCTCACTAGTCTAGACTAATAGTTTTATTCATATCCTGCATATAAAATATATTGGTTTTTAATAGGTTGAGAGCTCTTTACGCGATCAGAAATATTTAAATTATTTTAAGGTTGCTCTGTAAAAGTATTATTTGAGAGTAAAAGTCTTATTCGGGAGTATTATTTGGGAGTTGAGTTGATTTTTTTTTTATATATATTTTTTTTAAATCAATTTTTGATGCAGGATATAAAACAAATATACCGTGCCTGTTTTTCGAGGTATTGGTTAAAACTATGGGCCTCGGTGATTCAAATAGTACCAAATGGGTACTGTGCTTGGGGGCTGCTCCCCTTAGTAAATATTACTACTGGAGTCACCCAGAGGCGGCGGAGCGACTTCCAAAGTGGGGGGGGGGGGGCACCAACAAAAAAGGGCACTTTCTGGAGAAAAAAAGGGCACCTACGAAGGGAAATCTCAAAGCGAAAATAAACAATTTTTAGACATTTGTATATACCCCTATAATTTGATTAAATTATTTCAGTATTTGTTTCTCTTTATACATCGTATAAAATATTGCTCAATCATCATACCTTGCAGTTTGGTGTGATGGTCGGAAAAAAAAAATCATTTGCGAGCGAGGAAAACTATGAGATTTGTGAGGCCGCAGTGCAAAAATACATCTTGTAAAGAGGAAAAAACTAATCCTCATCGGATTATAAATAAGCACATTCTCATAACAGTAAAACTGAAAAGACCTTTGATGAGTAACATAATTATAACATCTATAAATGTGAGCGAGCGTAGCGAGCGAGCTTTGGGAGATATTGCTCTTAGTCACTTGAAATTAGGGGCACGTTTAATGATGAGAGGAAAGGGGACACTTATCGAAGGGATAAGACACTTATTAGAAAATAAAAGAAGCACGTGTCAAAGTTCAAAGGGTTATTATCAGAGGTGAAAATGGGGCACTCACTAGGGATGAAAAGGCACTTATGTTATGTGAATGGAAATTGGGCATTTGTCGACGGAAAAGAGGCAACCATCAGATTTTGATAGGGGCATTTCTGAAAAAGGGATAGGTTCCTCATAAGAAAGGAAAAGGGGCACGTATCATTGTTATCAGAGGTAAAAGGGGGCACTTATCGCATCTGAAAAGGGGTAAACACCAAATATGAAAGAGGCACTTATGAGAATGAAAAAGGGGCACTAATAATAAAGGGAAATGTGCATTTGTTGAAAGAAAAGGAGCACCGATTAGATTTTGATAGGGGCATTAAGGGGGCTTTTATGAAAAGCGGATATTATGAAGGAAAAAGAGCACTTATTAGGAAGGAAAAGGGGCACGTGTCAAAATAAAATGGGGTGTTATTAGAGATGAAAAGGGGGCACTTGTAAAAAAAACCCGAGTATCTCTCAGAATTGAATATAGGGTCATTTACCAGACATGAAAAGGGGCACTAGTAGGAGAATAAAAAAGAACTATTTTCATAGGTGAAAGGGGGCCTTTATGAAAAGGCGATGGACTCTTTGTTGAATGGGGGCACTTATCATTAGGAAAAGGGGCACTTATTAGAAAGGAAAGAGGGCACATGTGAAAATATAAGGTGTGCTTATCCGAGTTAAAAAGAGGTAGTTATTAAAAGGGAAAGGGTCACTTCTTACAAAGGAAAAAGGGCAATTGTCAAAGTAAAAGGGGCACCTCTAAAATTTGAATAGGGCAATTATCAGAGGAGAAGGAGGCGCTTAACAAAACTGAAAAGGGGCGCTTCTCGTACCCGAAAAGGGGCACCTACTAGAGATTAAAAAGGGCACTTATGAGAATGGAAAATAGACACTTATTGCAAAGGAACCTGGGAACTTGTCAGGGGAAAGAGGTACGTGTCAAAATAAAAGGGGCACATATCAGAGGTGGAAAGGGGAGGGGGCACTTTTAAAAATTAATAGGGGCACATATCAAAGTAATAGGGGCACTTTTTAAACAAAAAGGGGCGCTTCTTATAAAGTTAAAGGGGCACTTTTCCTATGAAAAAGGGGGCACTTTTTGGGTACTTGAAAAAGTGGGGGCACTGTGCCCCCCTGCCCCCCCCCCCCCCCGGGTCCGCCACCTCTGGAGTCACGTCTTGCGCATAATTTTAACCAGATTCCTCTCAAGATTTTGTATACTATTAACAAAAAAATTACTTACTTATTTAAACAGCGTTTTGCATTCCATAACCTCTAGTCACCGTCAATGAATTAAGCTTCAGTTTATGACTTCATTTCTTTCAATTTCATTACATATTTATTAGTTTTACCTTCTAAAAATATTTAATTCAAAATAAAATATTTATTTACAATTATTTTATGAGATTATAATTAACTTTAACAATTAAAATTCATGTTGTACTTTTGATATTATTATATTGATAGAACGAGGTTCGCATCTCCTCACGTCAAAATGGCTGAATATTTAGCTTCCATTTTTGGCACTGAAAAAGACAAGTAAGTATCAAGTTAAACTTGTTCTCGTTTGTAAATTGTGCTTTTGAATTGATGATATTTTGGATGTGAGTTTGGTTATTTATATAGGATATCGTTCGTGAATGGATCCTACCTTAAAGTGAACAATAAGCCGTTATGATAGACCTAGAGACGAGTTCGTTTTGGTTCGGTTTGGTGTGATGTTGACGCTTGTGATGTGCGCATGCATGCTACAATGTGCGAGTGTGTAACTGAGTGTGAGTGTATGAAGGAGTCTGGCTTACTCGGACCAAAGACATCGACAACTCGGCCCAGCTGCAAAAACGGTCAGTTTTTGCAGGTTTAGTGTTAGGGCGTTGGTAGGCTGATAAGCAGTAGAGTAGGCCCTGGTAATGGTCTGAGAATGAGGATCGTCCTAAAAAATTTGGATTATTTTTAATTTTCGCACTTCGCAGATTTTTTTTTTCTTCGAGACTAAATTTGGGGCTCCGCGGATTCCCACTTCTCGCGCCATTACGAACGTGTAGATGGCGCACAGTTTTTCCTTCATAATCATTTTGCCTTCGGCGTAGACTAGAAGGGATGAGATTGACGGCAGCGAGAGTTTAACACGGCTTGCAAGATTTTCAACATGGATGTCGATTTTGACCCATAATTTCCTTAAAAGGGACCATTAAACGGATTATTTCAATCAAGTTAGTAAGTGGAACCGATGTATTATAGCCTAGGCCTAATTTAACATTGGATATGGACGAGGTAAAATGACATTTTGGGGGATTTTGGGGGCATAACAATACGGCCGTGGCAAGTTTGTCATGTTTGTGGGAGGGGCCTAGCGGCTAAAATCTAGCCGTGATATCTTCAACATACGATGGTATAGGCGATCGTTCAGTCTCTATAACCGGAGGTCTAGTGGAGCCAGACGTAGTCTCAGTGGAACAACCGACGATTATAGAGACTGAAGCTTTCGGTCTATTGCAGAACCAGTTTTTTGCATTGCCAATGCTCGGATTGGAAATCAGAATCGTCATTGAATATGCAGACGATCCTTATTTTTGCGGACACGTCTGTCTGCGTTTGCAAAAATGATCCTCGTTAGTGCAGACGATCCTTATTCTCGGACCAGCGCCCATATTATTAAACCAATCTCAAATCTCAATGAAGCTAAATTTGAAGATTTTAGTTTCTTGCCTATTAATTATTTGTACAGACGTTCTTGGGAAATACTAAAACCTATTCCTTACCCTAACTTTAATCCTAACCCTTTCCCTAAGTTACCCTGACTGAAACCCTAGTTCTTGGGCGTTTCTGTACATAAACTTAAACCCTTTTTCAGTATTGATGGGGTAGTCTGAAGCTAAGCTGCTTGTGCTTGTGAGTAAAAATTATTTCTAAGAAAAATCTTTCCTTTTATATTTTGACTTGGATGAACATAGTTCTGCGTTAGTCTCGACTCCTCTTCTCCTTCTTCTTCTTTTTCTTCTTCTTCTCCCTCTTCTCCTTCTCCCTCTTCTCCTTCTCAAGTTCTCATTCTTCTCCTATTTCTTCTTTAACTTTCCCTTCTTCTTCTTCTCCTTCTTCTTCCTCTTCTCCTTCTCCTTCTCCTTCTCCTCCTCCTCTTCCTCCTCCTCCTCTCCCTTCTTCCTTCTTCTTCGTTTTATTCTTCGTTTTATTCTTCATGATAACGTTTAAAAGAATTAAATAAAAAGTAGACAATGATTGATGAACAGCCGAAATAGGTATTTTTGCACCGGAATCTGTTCCAAGTTGAGCGCGAGCCCAGGCAATCACTTTGCTGCAAAGGTGAGCTGAAAATGTGTTTCCTTGAATAATGAGATACTGTTCAATATTCTCAAAATATGCTACCAAACATCTCAACAAAAGTCACTGAAGATGGAGACGGTCTGCCAAAGAGAAAAGAATCTCTGTTCGCTGGGTCTACTAAATATAATGATAAAACCTGACATAGTAGTAGTAATAAGGATGAAATTTTATGCTAGGGCTCTGATCTGATCGGAAGACCGGAGCGACACCCTCGCATTTGGAGTTGTTGTTTGTTGATATTTAGTGCCTTTTCATGACTTTGAAATAAATAATATTGGTCTAAGAGAAGAGGCAAAACATGCGGGGACGCCATCTTGGATTATAGTAGGCATGCATTTATTTATTAATTGGCGATCAGAAATTATTATCCGATCTCACCTGATCGGCTCAAGATCGGCCCCCGGTCCGATGATCGTTTACAGGCCTAACAAATAGTTACATGTACATGTTTCTAAGGAAAGAAAAAACAAAAGTGGAAGTGCAAACTACTGTAGCTCTAGAAAATTATCATTGGGTAGCTGTAAATGTAATGTTAATGAATGATTATATGAAGGAGCAGGTTGATAATATTGTGCTACAAACTGATTTGATGACATTGTCAATATAAAAGATAAATGACACTGCTTTAGAACAGATGTATAAAAACAAAGAAGTCCACCAAACCTAAAAATTACAGTAATTACATTATAAACTTAATTTTCTATCTGTGGAAATTTCCAAAACAGGTGAGTTTGTGGAAGCAAAATGTTGTATCTTTCTGTGGGAGAAAATGGGGTAACTTTTAACAAGTCATTTTATACATGCATTTTTAAACAAAAAGTACGGTAGACTAGAACCTCTTTTTTCTTTTTATAGAAGTTTTTCAGTTCTCTCACACAGCTACACTGTACATCATGTACAGTTGTCACAGGGCTACATACATGTACTATTATACACCCATTTCTTCCTAGGTCTTGCAGCATATTTTTGTGGTTCTATCCCCTGTCCTCTTCGTAAAACATTATAAATGCATGTTGAATAATTGTCCCAAATTTTCTCTTCTTTTTTTCTTTCCTTTTGTTCATTTCATAAAGGTTCTTCCTACTGTTCTTATTATTGTTAATGAATAAATGGAGTCAAAATTTTACTTCTGTTTATTTCCAGCTCTGGGTTTTATCGATCATGTTTTATTTTTTATACTACTCTTTTAGATCATAATACTAGTATCATACAGAGAGTATTTTCTAATTTTGTTTTAATAGCAGTGTTACCGGTAACTGGAAGCAAATGTTCAGCATTTTTATTTTCTAGGGTAAAAATATTCTCTTTGCAGGATTTTTCACTTTTAGCATAAGGTTCTGCGTTGGCAGTCAACTGTGTTGTGGCTCTCCCTATACTCCCTATTTTTCCTAATTTAGCTTTCCATAGCCCAAAGAAGAAGCAGTATTATTTTCTATTAGCAGGGTTGTACATGTACATGTAGGTAAATATAGGCTGCGAGACTGGAGTTTTACCATGGTCATTTACTCTTTTCCACTTTTCCATTCTATAGCGCAGGGGACAGCACAAGTGATTTGCATAATATATTTAGCTTGAGTTTATTTTTTTATCAGCAGAGGTATTTTTTTCTATTATAGGTACATTTTAGGTTTACAGATGGAGTTGTACCATTTTCTTTATTTTCTATCTGGTAGCAAATTATAGCACAGGGCACAGAGCAAGTCAAGTCAATTTTTGTTGAATTTCTTTTTTTGTATAAACAGGCAAGCGTGAAGCGTCCCTTAACTACATGTCAATTAACAACTTCAAAATCATTCTTTTTCTTTCAGTTTTAATTGTAATTGTAGTCAAGTTGTTGCAGATTTTAATAAAAATCAGTAATATTATTCATCTTTAAAAATAGCAAAGGCAAGTAAGAGAATTCTGCCATCCCCATTGAATTAATATTCATGTAGATTGGAAATTTGGAATGATATCATTTCTTCCCTCTAGCAATTCTAGCCAAGACATTGACCACCCTCATTTTTCCAACAAACAGAAACCTTAACAGTCTTGTCTTGTTCTGTTCTGCTCTCTTGTGCTTTAGACCAATGAATCCCCCATCTCTGCTCTATCTTGCAATGGGAATCGTTCATTTTACAACGCAAGGTAAAAACCAATAATGTATTGATACCTGGGTATGCTAAGGAATCAGAATGACTCAAGTTTGTAATTTTTTAGCATGTACAATGTATTTTTTCACTTGCCTACTGGTCTCCCTTAAAAAGCAGGCCTTGCGGCTCTAAAGGGACTACCCTGTATTTAAAAAAAAGACTGAATACATTAATAAATAAGTTTAAAATAGCTACCGGTATTACAACAATTGCTTCAGTGCAATACCTGTTACTACCTCTGTATATACATGTAATATGTACCATTCAAATTTGAATACTCGATAGAAGTTAGAGAAGGTACATGTATTAAAGGTTGTTAGAAATAAGTACTTTTTGTAAAACTTATTCAATATTGGTGACTGATTATAGGAAGATTTTTCAGTATATTTTTGGAAGGCATACTTAAAAAATCTGAAACGTACTAAACTGCAATGCATTATGACGCATATTTACTTTAAACCTCCTTCGCAATGTGAAATCTACTCGTGTAGTTCCATAGATGGCAGTGACAAAATTCTGATGTATCTGAGTTTGAACAATATGTATGTCCTGTCGTGTATGTCGTGTATATGGGACCCTGACTTCTTCAACCAATTAGCAGCTTATCTGTGGATTTTGTCCCCTGAGCAGTATGCAAGAATAGAGTTTTGAAATTCAAGTTTGAATGATAGTCTAATGTAATGACATAAACTACATGTAGATCATGCTATTCAAATACATGTTAGTTTTCATGAGGCAGTCATCAAACAATCTTGCTTTGATCTTTATCTACCGGTATTAGCCGCGTTTGACACTAACAGGGTACCCATTTGTACTTTGGAACCCCCTCCCCCCACTCTTTTTGAATATTTTACGAGGGCACGTGCAAACAGACCCTACATGTATGAATTTTAATCCTGCGATATATTTTTAAAAACCTGTTGGTGTGGAGCTCTGTTTTGAAGAAGCTCGTTCTCACTGCACCTTCTAATCCATTCTCTTTCCCATCTTCCCCAATATAGAGTCAACTGCTCCTTCTACTTCAAGATTGGAGCATGTCGTCATGGAGACCGGTGTTCCCGCCTCCACAACAAACCGACTTTCAGTCAAACTATCGTGATCCAGAACATCTACCACAATCCGGCTAACACAGCACAATCGGCTGAAGGAGGTGCTGCTGTTGGAATAGGCAAGTATTTACTTAGTATTGCTAGACAGGTGTAAGGATACTTGGCTATAATTAACCTTTCTTTTGAGAAGTTTTAGTATGGAGCAAGTCTAGAAAGTAGATATGTTTCCAGCAAGGCGCAAAAAAAAAAAAATGCATACAAAGTGATACATTATTTAAAATTTTCGGTTTCTTTTTTTCCCCTCTCCTCCTGATTTATTCAGGCCCTCTAATCAATTCTAACTGGCATCCCTGCTTGGATGGATTGAAAGTAGGTCCCAGAAACAACTTCATTTTATTTATATATTTGTTGGTTTTTATTTAGTTAGTCATGCATTCAATTCATTTATTTATTTAATTGATTAATTAATTTATTTATTCATTTTGATGTGTGTGATAGCTGACCAATCTAACCTGAGTGATGTGGAGGTGCAGCAGCACTTTGATGATTTCTTTGAGGAGGTCTTCGCTGAGATGGAGCAGAAGTACGGTGAGATCGAGGAGATGAACGTCTGTGACAACCTTGGTGATCATCTGGTCGGCAACGTCTATGTCAAGGTGAGTAGAAGTGTCGTAGTTTGATCCCTGACACGGCACCTAATGTCCTTTGGCAAGGCATTAATCTTCATTTGCCACACTCAACCCAGATGAGGTAAATGGGTACCTGGCAGGAATTAATTCCTAGAAATACTGGAGTGCTGTATAAACGGCTGCTTGGCTAAAGCCGGGGTAATAATAAATGCGCCTCGGAATAGGCCTTCTAGATAAACGGCGCTATAGAAATGCCTATTATTATTATTATTATCAACATGTCATTCTATATTTAGGTAGAAGAGAGGTGACTACAGTGAAACCTGTCTATAAAGACAACCCTAGGGAGGCAAGCAAAGTGGTCTTTGTAGGCAGGTAGTTTTTAAGTACAAGTTCCTTTAGTACATGTTTGTATGAGTAACAAAATATTGAAAAAGTGTGAGAAACCACTGAAAAGGAAGGAGAGGGCTACAAAACATGTGCATGGGCTTTTAAAAAGCCATAATGTGCAAAAAGCATGACTGCTAAATCCCCTCTAGCACCATCTCAGGTCAGCTGTACCAGTATGGTCCCGTTACATCCTGCTTCCCTAGCTGAGCTGCTGGTTCTTGCATCGGTCCTCTGTCTACAGAGTGGAAATGAGATATTGGGTTATTGGGTTGGTTCTTCGTTTAGATGGCGCTCTTCAATCTCAAAGATTATTTGCGCCAGTCAATTTCGTGTATAGCTTTGGCGTGGGCTTCGGAAAACAAGCCCACGAGCAACTTTCCTTGGTGAAATGAAATTAATAGTGATATGGTTTTATAAAAATTAAAAAAATTTAAAAAAAAAAAAAAAAAAAAAAAAAAAAAAGCTGCAATATTAAAATTGCATAAAATGCACATAAAAGGCGAGATGGGAGTTAGTTGCAATTGTTCATGGAAAAACCGCAAATACTTCATTTTATATATTATTACAGGATCGACATAAGTTAAGGGGATCCCTGATAGCTTTAAAAGCTATCTAAAACGATTAGTATCGTATATGTAACCCAATAATTCACGAGTAAAAATTGGGTTAGACATCAATAATTGTTTCAGATTGGGGTTGTTCAATTTAATCCTTTCTTTTAAGAGACGTCTATCTTTGTCGTATTTTGTACAATAGAAAATAAAATGTTTAATTGTTTCATCTTCTTGACAAACTTCACAAAGACCAGTATCGTGTTGGTTAATTTGAAAAAGGTAATAATTTAAACTACAGTTACCTACTCTTAGTTGTTGTATCAAGCATTCTTCTCTGCGAGATAGGCCTTGTCTATGTATGGGCTTTGAAACGTCGCTATGCAAAGCATATAAAAAACTACCGTGTTCTGCATTGTCCCATTCTGCTTGCCATAATTTGTTATAATGGATCGAACGAGAGGCTGCCAATTTACTTCTTGTATTTGGTATAACTATGTCTATACACCTTTTCATGGCTCCTTTTTTGGCAGCCCGATCTACGATCTCATTGCCCCTAATATCGCAATGTGACGGAATCCATTCAAAAGCAACACAAACATCCTTAAACTGCAAAATATTAATTATGGATAAAATTTCATTTACAATAGCACATCTAATAAAGTATGAATCGATCATTTGTAAAGCTGACAAAGCGTCGCTAAAAATTACCACCGAAGAGGATTCAATAAATGTATTAATCCACTCTAGTGCCATTAGTATGGCCACTAGTTCTGCTCTCATAATACAGACATGGGATAATCTAAAAAAATTCACCACATTATAATGAGACACATAAAATGCGGCTCCTGTCTTCCCATCCTCGAGTTTAGAACCATCTGTATATATATGTAAAAACCCATTCCATGAATTTCCAATGCTATCTAGAACAATCGATTTTATTTCAAATGGAGGCATTTCCTTTTTTTGCACTTTGCCATGGTGTTCGAAAGACACTTGTGGTCGTGCTAACCGCCATTCTGGGATTTTCGGCAATAAGTTGGTTTGCCCTTCCACCACTACTTCGTCTCTAAAGGATCGTAGTTTAAAAGGTCCTTCTCCTATCTTCCATTCTAAGTTATTTAAATCATAGTCATCACCCAATACTTCTTTTGTTGGGTGGTTTGAAGTACTAGACAGTAAATAAACTCGAAAGTTATCATTTAACAACCTTCTACGATATCTCAGAGGCAGCTCCCCGGTCAAAACTTGTAAAGCCTCCAAGGACACATTGTGTATTGTGCCTGTAATAATTTTTAAGGCTCTGTATTGGATAGAGTCAAGTTTTTTTGTTAAAGATATACAAGCAGAATCATACATTTCACTCCCATAGTCCAAAATGGATAGGATAAGTCCTTTATAAATCATCATCAAAATCTCATACTTACTTCCCCAGGGGGTGCCGGAGACACAACGTAGCAAGTTTATTCTTTTCTTACATTTATCAATGATAGAATCTATATGGACAGACCAAGTTAAATTGGAGTCAAACCTCACACCAAGGAACTTATACTGCTCGCATATAGGCAGATTATGTCCTTTTATTTGTAGAAGAATATCTTTCTTTTGTTTGTTGGTAAAGACTAATACTGCAGATTTGGTAGGGGAAACGTTTAACTTCCACGTCCAACACCATATCTCAAGCTCATGCAGGGCCTCTTGTAATTTCCTGCGGGCCAGCTCTAAATCCTTATTTGAACACCAGATTGCAATGTCATCAGCATAGCAAGATAATTTAACATCACTTACATTTATCTTGAGATCATTTAACATTAAAGTAAATAATAAAGGACTTAATGAACTTTTTTTGCGGGATTCCATTTTCTAACGTGTAGTGGCGAGACATATAGTTATTTATCCTCACATTAGAAATCCTACTCAATAGAAATGCTTTTATAAAAAGTAACATTTTTCCACCAATGCCTAAGATAGATAATTTTCTTAGTAGACCTGTTTTCCATAGCGAATCATATGCTTTTTCTAAATCAAGAAAGACCGTTACGGTATATTTTTTACTTTTCAAGGATATATGTACATGTATGTCCGTCTCTAATCTCACTAAGTGATCTTTGACATTCCTATATTTGCGGAAGCCAGATTGAATAGGATTTAATAGTCTGTTTTTTTCTAGAAACCACGTCAGGCGATTTTTTATCATTTTTTCCATAATTTTAGAGAATGTTGATATCAACGAAATCGGCCTATAAGAGGTCACTTGAGTCGGATCTTTTCCGGATTTCAAGATTGGTATTTGAATAACCTCATACCACTGATGTGGAAAAAGTGAGATTTTCCAAATGTCATTATACAAGTTTAATAAATACACGAGTGCCTTGTTCGGCAAATTCTTAATCATAATTAAATAAATATCATCCTTACCGGATGAGGAGTTTTTCATCTCCTTTAAAACATTCCCCATTTCACTCATGTTAAAGTCATCATTGATACAATCATCATCATTTGTTGAAGAATTATTGTACAAGATATTTTCGTTTTCATTTTTAGTTACGGAAAGTGATTCATCAACCGATTTAAAATAGGTTGCCATTGCATTTGCTTTTTCCTCAGATTCTTTCAAGATATTTCCGTCTACAAATAGATTGTGAAAGATGTGCTTGTTCATTGTACTGTCCCGCATTCTTTTAACCTGTTCCCAGACTTTCCCAATGTCTGTAAATCTATTCATTCTACGGCAGTACTCTAACCAATAATCATATTGAGCTCTCCTGATTACCTTCTGAGCGACAGCTTTCTTCTTTAAGTATTTCTTAACATCATTTAGATCATAATACCTTCTTAACCTGTTTTTAAGACGATTTCTCTCTTGCACCGCCTTCTTGCAGGCATTGTTCCACCAGGGATTTACTTTTCTTCTCTTGGCAATCTGCACACGCGGAATGCACTTGTTCGACGTTTTACTTGGTCACCTTAACAATCACATTGTATCTGCCTTGAATGTTTAGTTCTGCACCAAGATTTTCATATCCTTCTTTTCTCAATGCCTCTTCAATTTCTTCTCTATACTCTTCCCAATTAACCTTTCTAAAAGACCATCTCTGTCCCATATTCTCACCCCCTGGTCTATTGTACACATGTTTAAAATTTAAGCAAACCAGATTATGATCACTGCCAAAATTATTGGATAGTACTTTCCACTCTGTATTACGTGCTAATTCTTTCGATACTAAGGACAAATCCAGATTTGAGTATGTACCATAATATGGGTCTAACCTTGTAGGAGATCCATCATTTAATAAAACCAAATCATTATTTTCTATAAAAGACTCCACAGTTCTACCGTTTGTGTCTAATTTGTTGCTCCCCCATAGAGGATTGTGACTATTAAAGTCGCCTAGAATCAAATACTTCCCCGGCACATTTCTTATCATGTTATTTAGATCTATCAGTTCAATCTTTTTACACGGATTATAATAGTTGAAGATTGAGATAACTCCGTTTTTACAAAAAATATCAACTTTTTGGTATTCGGCGTTCCTGGGTGTATCCATCGCCTGAAAAGTGATGTCGTTTTTTAAATACATCACCAAACCACCTCTTCTGCCGTCCGGCCTGTTTTTACAAACACAAACGTAATTGGGTATAGACAAAACATTAAAATCGTTAAACCAAGTTTCTTGGATGCACATTATATCTGGGTGAATACCTAACAAATTGTTATCAATAAGGGAAGATAAAAAGTTTGCGCCATGCGCCGTCAAGCCTTGTGCGTTCCATTGTACAATCAATAGGTCTGATATGGACTTATTAGTCATATGAGGCGACTTTTTACCATTTCCATGGTAATGTCTACCTTCAAAATTTCTTTGCCTGCTCTAACTACCGCTTCCAAGAAATTATCATCATTACTGGACTGAGGCAACTGTCGTACCACAAACAGAATAAACATAATCAAATCAATAGATGTCATATTTACTGGAGTTTGGGTTGCAGTTTCCTTCTTTGTTTTTCGTACTGGAATTGGGATCTGGGAATGAGATCTGGGTATTGCCCTGTCCCTTTCTTCCTGTCCCTTTCTTTCTCGTACTGTGTGTGGGGTATGGGCCTGAGGGTTCGGATTGGCTCTCTGAGGATTCGGATTGGCTCTCTGAGGGTTATTTGGCCTTGATTCTGTGTTATGTTTTTTGGCAGGTTTGTTTAGATTTGCACTACCCATGTCTTTCTGATTATCCATGTCAGTAACGGCATTTTCATGTATCTGTGCACGATGGGCCTTGGCCGCTTGGGCATAAGTGAGGTTTTCCTGTAATTTTATTTTTTGAATTTGCTTCGCCTCTGCATAAAATTTACAACCTTGGTAAGCTGCAGAGTGGTTTTCACCACATCTGAGGCATTTAGGGTTCTCCTTATTAGGGCAATCTTCGAACTCATGTTCTCCCCCGCATCTAACACATCGGATATTGCCTTTACAAGTTTGCCTAATGTGTCCGAATAACTGACATTTATGGCATCGCGGCACAGGAGGGATATAGTCATCCACTTGCTTTACCTCATACAGAAAATGTATGGACTCGGGTAAGTTTTTACCCTTGAAAGTGAGGAGAACGGAAGGGGTTGCTACCATTTCTCCTTTGATCTTCTTCATAAATCTTTTAGCGTTCACTACATTCTGTTCTTTCAAAACTTCCTCTATTTCCTCGTTACTGATTTGGGGATCAATCTTGTGAATAACTCCTTTAGTGGTTGATTGGCTCCCATCGTATCGTGTAACTTTCACATTAATGCCCGCCAACTGGGTTAATTCCAACAGTTTGGGTTTTTGGTTTTCGCTCTCACATCTCACAATCAACATGTTTCTTTCTTTTACCATATCTTTTACTCTGCCTACAAGATCATGAATTTGTTTTACAACCTTCACGGGGTTGGCTCTGCACACATTCTTATTCTCCAATCCAACAATAACTACTTTACCCTCAGAATGAGTTGGTGTCGAGCGGGAGAATTTGGGTATTTTGCTATTCTTTTCATGTAACACTCCATCACTATTGCTTCTAACCCTTGGCCTCTTTTTCGATTTTTTGCGTACTGCCGTTTTCCATGAACAATCTGCAATGTCACTATCTTCCGGGACCGTAGTACCGTCAGAAGATATACCTTCACCTAAATCATGTACATCGTCCCGGTATTTCTCAGCAACGGCCGTCATATAATTCTCTTCCCCCGAAGATAAAGAGGAGAGAGAAATCGACGCCATTCAATTTTCAAACGCGCATAATTAAGATTAGTAGGATAAGTGAAAATTCTTACCTTTCAAGGCTGTGTTATTTAAGTTGTTAATCTTACGTGAATGGAGGGATGAAAATGAGTGCAATAAATCACCACAGGATTGCCACTTAGGGTCATCTCCTAGACCTTTGCCTTGACTACAGTGACGAACGAGTTAAAACGTGAAGATGTGATCCAACAACGAGATTGCTACGGCGAAAGCTCGTATAGTCCGATGGGCTGGACACGGTCATGCACTGTTGGCAAGTTGACCAAGAGATGGCGCTGTGCAATATACAGTATCAGAGCCACAGAGTTTGGCCAACCTGGTTCGAGTTGGACACAACATGGCAACTACTGCTTTGTTGGGCAACCACAAAACAAAAGAATATATACACCATGTTGTGACCCAGGGAAACCAAGTTGGCCAAACTATGTGTATAGATGGCTCTGAACAGAATGCTAGGGAAGAAAATTCATCAGTTCAGTATCGCTTTGATCAAAAATGCATTTTAGAGCATTGTAATTGCTGATGGGGTAAAAGGTCACAGTGTGTTGCGGTGTTTATTTTAAATATTGATCTTCTCTCCTTCCCTTTCAGTTCCGCTATGAGGAAGATGCAGAGAAAGCAGTAGAGGATTTGAATAATCGCTGGTTTAACCGTCAGCCAATCAGAGCTGAGCTCTCACCGGTCACAGATTTCAGAGAAGCCTGCTGTCGTCAGTACGAGATGGGGTAAGAGACCCCTTCAGTAACACATGTTGTACCACACCAGGGGGTGTTTCACAAAGACTAAGATCGACTTTAAGTTGGACTTAACTATGGCAGGCCTTTAATGCGACTGGTTGCTCTCACCATTATGATCTTTAGATAATGTTTTCCTTCAATAATGAATTATCAAAACATGTAAATTATGTAGATTTGTGACCAATAGCTTTATATATACAGTCAAACCTGTCTATAGCAACCGCCCAAAGGAAACACAAAAAGTCTTTGTAGACAGGTTCATTTAGTACATGTTTCAATGAGAAACCATTTTCAAGGGAAACAAAAAATGTTGGCTTTGTAGACAGGTGGTCACTAAAGCAGGTTTGACTTTAGTTTGGTTCTGTGAAAATCACACAACTCAAAGAATTCCTGAGACTCCATACAATACATTTTGTACTTTATAGGTGCCTCAAGCTTTCCGCAGTATAGATATGTTAATTGTTATTATTATTTCCCTGTTCTAATGCAGATATAGCGTTACCCACACCAGAGCCATCTTTACACAGAGTTTGGCCAACCTGGTGCGAGTTGGACACAATATGGCAACTACTGCTTTGTTGGGCAAGCACAAAACAAAAGAATAAACGCCATGTTGTGATCCAGTGAAACCAAGTTGGCCAAACTCTGTGTATAGATGGCTCTGACCCACACTATATTCTGCCCCCCTCTCGTGGTCTGTAACAAACAATAACCTATCATTTTCTTGTGTGTATCTCATTTATCCTTTGCAGTGAATGTACACGTGGTGGATTCTGTAACTTCATGCACCTCAAACCCATCTCCAGGGAACTCCGAAGAGAGCTCTACGGCCGCCGCAAACGCAAGAAGCGCAGCAGCCGTAGCAAGTCCACATCACCCGGACCCCGCGACAACAAGCGCCGATCGCGATCCCGTAGTCGCAGCCGAGGAAAGGACGATAGACACAGAGAGAGGGAGCGCTCCGGACGTTTTTAAGATTTGGGCCAATTTAACTGTGGAGTCTTGATATGATACATGGTCGCTATGTCAGTAAGCCTTCCTGCAGGCAATATACAGTGGACAATGTAACCTGTATATTGTCTGTTTGGAGTCAGAAAGATATTAACTTCTATACTTTAACATAGAGTTAACGCTCTGGCTCTGAACAGAATATGTGAAGACGGCTTAAGTAAACAACAAATAGTAGTCCTTATAGATAGGTGGTCAGTGGTAAGTACAGTGAAACCTGTCTATAAAGACCACCCAAGGGAGGCAAGAAAGGTGTTCTTTATAGGCAGGTGGTTTTTCTATACAAGTATGACTGTTTATTCAAGCAGACAAGTCCAAGGTATTTTGGTCCTATATTTTACTGACTTCTGTAAAACAAGAAACTTTGGCACACATAAATGTTTGTGAATTTTGCAAGAGGTTAGTTCAGATTTGTCGAATTTCATGCAGAGAAGAACATGAATCACAGCTAACGCAACACAGAATTTTTTTGCAAATTGCGAAGGTTTCGTTGACGTAAAAATTGTTGTTATTCATAGATCATGAGAGTTTCATGTTGAGAAAGTTTCTGGTTTCATATTCTCTCAAATATTTTAGTTTACCTAAGACCTTGTCCTGATACGATTGATGATATCTATGATGTTGTAAAAGCCTGATACCTGTCACATTTTCAGTGTCTTGAGCACAAGACACAGAGCTCGGTGAATTTGCGCAGGACCTTTGACTTGTTGCGTGCATGTGTCAATCATTTACACGTTAATAATTCTGTGACGTTTTTTTACCACATCCCTGTATTCAATGGAAAGCCTTACTACAGCTAGGATCAAACCAAATATCAAGGAAAGGGTTTTCTCATCATCTAACGTGCCTCGTAACACACACTGTATGGGGCACAACATGTGAAACCTGTCTATAAAGAACACCCAAGGGAGACAAGATCAGTGGTCTTTACAGACAGGTGGTCTTTTAGTACAGGTTCCTTTAGTACAAGATTCAATAAGAAACCATTTCCAAAGGAAACAAAAATGTGGTCTTTGTAGACAGGTGGCCTTTGTAGAAGCAGGTTTGACTGTACATTGGACGTGCCCAAGAATCAGGGACCCATTTCACAAAACTTTTCCTCAGTGACAAATGACAGGTTTTGTTATAAGCTACTGAATTCCTTGCTTCTGATTGGTTATCGTAAGATTTGTCACTGATTTTTGTCATTTTTCATTGAAAAAAGGCTTTGTGAAACAGGTCCCAGATCCCTCTGCATATTGGAGAAAGGAAATCACAACACCTTTATCAAAAAAGTTATCAGTTCTGACCAATATCTTTTATGCTGCATCAATTTAAGTAAATATTGGTAATTGTAAGATACATAAAGGGTTGTTGCAGTCTAACCTGCTTTATTGACCACCTTCCTTCAAAGACCACTTTTTGTGTTTCCCTTGGGTGGTCGCTATAAACAGGTTTAAAAAGCTAGTTTTTGTACCCTCTTATTCACTTTATTACAAAATACATAATCTTGAGATTCTGTATCAAAGAAGAAGTAACGCATTTATATCAAGACTCCACAGTGTATGTAATATTTTTTGTCATGTTGAAGGCTTAGGTGAACATTAATAAAAAATGTTTAAAAAAATCCTGTTTGGTATGTTTAATTGTCATGATTAATTCTGAGATCATGCCTTTGTCTTTAAATTCATTGCTGGCTATTGAAAAGTTATTCTAAAGTCGCCTCCGAAAAGAATGTTTACACTGAAAACTGAAAAGAAATTAAAAATGTACCTTTTCTAGCCAAAATAAGTCTTACATGTTTTCTCCCTGAGCAGCTGACAATTGAACGAGTTTAGCTGAACTCTAACTTACTGCATTTAATTATTGCATTATTTTCAAGACACTTACATACACAACCAGGAGAAGTTGCAGATTAGAAAAGAAAATGCTTTAGAAAGCCCTTGATATTCATGTCACATGTTGCCCTATGCCTTCAATTCAAATTTTGTTGTAAATCATAATATTTCTCATGTTTTTTCCTTTCATTCTTTTTTTTATTTGATGCTACAGTATGTAGGGATCAACTTTAGCCATATCATTAATTGTTTCATCATTTTGCTTTTAAGGGTCTATTTTGTTGTTAATTGCTATTATTACTGTAGTTTCGAACTGTATGATAATTCTATTGCAGGTATTATTAAATAATCTTCTCCAACATGCCAATTTATCTGTTTGCAGGGATGGATTGTGGCCTTTCATTACACATTTTCGTTGTCCAAGAAATAACACTATTTTTCTGGAATGTTATTAAGTATTGGATATTTCCCTCAAAATAAAACAAAATGTAGTAATTTCATTTTTGCTGTAACTTAATATGTATATTGCATTCCACTCCTATTTTGTTCATTTCTCTAAAAGTGTAAATATATTCTGTCCCACTGTTCTCTGAAACTTGATCTATCTATCTCTCTCTCTCTCTCTCTCTCTCTCCTTTTGCCCACTCTGTTTGTTTCCTCAACAATTTCATCTGAATTATGAAGTACCTACCGGTAATACTTTACATGTACATTATTCAACAGTATGTTGATTTTTGCAAATTGAGAAAGGTTATTGTACTTTCCTGGAAGCAAATTGATCCATGAATGTTTATCAGCAACTTTTGTCATGAACTAAAATGTTTTTTTTTTAATGTGTCTTGGTGAAAGGAACCCACTACTGTTTTTGTATTAAAATCAAATTTTTCCTTTTATTGTGAATATGAGTTCATATGTAGTTCATGAAGTGTATTTTGTAGAATGTAGGTGTTTAGTATGACTGATGGTGAGAATGCTCCCCAGGGAGTGGAGATTGTGCACACAGTGTGTGCGGGCAAGCACTGAATCCAATGACCAGGGTAATTTTGTAAAGCGCTATATAAAAAATTAAATATTATTATTATTAATTATGTTGATGAAGAAGACAATGAACAGCTTTAACAGAAATAATGTATAATAATATGATTTGGGAAAATGCTCTCTTTATGTCCTTGTATTTCACACATCCAAAAAACAAGATTGCTAGTTTGTTAAAAATAGAAAGGAAAAGAGAGAGAGAGAGAGAGATAGAGAAAGAAAAAAATAGATGGGCATAAACGATCAAACACAGGAATTACAATAACTTCCTCCAATGTTCTTATTCTCCCTTTCTCCCCCCCCCCCTCTCTCTTTCTCTCTCTCTCTCTCTCTCTCTCTCTCTCTCTCTCTCTCTCTCTCTCTCTTCTCTCTTTCTCTCTTTCTCTCTATCTCACTTCCTATCCTTCTATCTGTATATTTATTCAGTCGATGCGTCTCTATTCCTTTATTCTCTCCGCTCCGAGTCTGGTAATTTATATCCAAATTATGACATCACTTTTCCCGGTGAAAGTTTTAATTATCGCCCGGGCTGCCACAACAATTGTCTGGTATTACAACGATCAGCTGAATTAGATCATTCTGACATATCAGCGGTACGGAAGTCAACAGCCGTAGTGTGTGTTATGATTAAAAATGATTCACACGTTCGTACTCAATGACTGGTGACAGACATTCTGTTACTGACACGGTAACTTGGATATCATAAAGGATTATATGCATACATCGCCCCCCCCCCCTCTTCTCTCTCTCTCTCTCTCTCTCTCTCTCTATCTCTCTCTCTCACTCTCTCTCTTTCCCTCTCTCCTTCTCTCTCTTCTCTCTCTCTCTCTCTCTCTCTCTCTCTCTCTCTCTCTCTCTCTCTCTCTCTCTCTTTTTCTCTACCTGTCTCTCTCTTTCTCCTCTCCATTTCTTATCCTCCCCTCTGCCCTCTCTCCACCCTCCAAACTTCAGCTTATGGTACACAACTGAATAGGGCAACAGTTGATAAACATAATGTATGCTGATTGAACAGCACGAGTGAACATGGAAGAAAGACACCCCCTCCAATTAAAAAATGAATAAATATATATATATATATATATATATATATATATATATATAAACGGTTAGAAATGAAGAAATAACGAGCGAGAGATAGAGATCTTAGTCATGTAAGTGGAGAAAGAGAGAGAAGAGTGGGTTGTTAGATAAAGTATAATCATTATGAGGAATACAATTATTGACCAGGGCCCTGCCTTTTAACTTCAATACATGTTATAAGCTACTGAAATCGTGGTATCTGATTGGCTGGGAGCAAACTTGTTCGTGGAAATTTAGCTTTTGTTATATTGATAACAAGTTTTATGAAACAGGACCCAGGTATATACTCTCTATAGGTCATGACCCTCGTTTTCATCACCTAGCTGCTGTCTGCCCATCAAACAAGATATATAGTCACCTTTGAGACTAGCGGGCCCAGGAAATGAGTGTAGTCATGACTTCCGGGTACCCCAGACCTCTCGCGAGGGCTGTCACTGCACTCCCGTAGGAATTCATGCAGTCCTTTGTAGTCTCTCTCCCCCTTTATTTTACCCTCTCCTTTTACACGAATCGGTAGAGGGCACATGTACTCTGTGTTGATACGAAAGAAATATCTGACAAAGTCACAACTAAATTATTCATACCCTTACCAGGTTTTGCCATTTTTAAGTATGTGAAAAATTGATTTATCCCCATTTATGTTTCTGGAGAAAAAGTATTCAACAAAGCCTCTAATTCAGCCAGTCCATCTTTTATTCTTGGGTTACGAATAACACAAAACTCATCACATTTACAAGGGGTATGAATAATTTAGCTGTTCAATTTCATTTGTTTCCATATAGATTCATAAAAAGACAATAAAAATTATAATCAAATATGAAAGCATTAAAACAAAAGATGTGATAACAAAACAGAGGTTTTATCGGGGATCCTCTACTGCTTAAAACTACACTATCAATATACAATAGTCTTATTCTTTTTAATTGAACAATAAACAGATACAAAAGAATTTATATATATTACAAGCAAGTCTATGTGTGGTGTGAGTGGTAGTGGGGTGGTGGTACCGATAAATACAATATATAGAGGGATCGGATGATATGAAAAGAAAAGTAGTACGAAACACCAGACGAAATCAAATATTGTTTCAACTTTGAATTAAAAGAATGAAGTGATGAGCAACTGACAGCATCAATATGTTAACTGTATGTACCTCATCCTTGGTGGCTAGTTATCTCAGACGACATCAATCG